AGGTGTGTGTGGCCAGCTCAGCCCACCAGGGGGCGGGGCTGGCTGGCATGTGGTGCTGGGGATTGAACCGCGGTCCCTGATACTTTGCTAAGCTTGTTCTAAGTAGGTGCTTTAGACCACTGAGCCATCTCTCCAGCCCAGGAAATAAATTTATTGTTAACACTGGCTGGAGAAGATTCTTTCCTTTCTAAAGCTAAGATTATTCACAAAAGAGGAAATTAACTCTACCCTGTCTGGCAGAAGAGGTGGTAAATGTGATTTGGCCCTCTCATAATTTGGATTCATTTACTGGGTTAAAACAAGGTTGTAAAATACTCATTTTACATATTCTTGAGCATAAAGCACTGAGGCAAAATTTGACATTTTCACTAGATGCTTTTATTTTGATTCAGCTAGTTTCCTCTAGCTTTTTAAGTCTTTTTTAATTTTTCTGTGTTTTAGAGAAGGGTCTACAGAATGTTCAGGGTCTCACTACTAGATCAGACTTGTAGTGATTCTCCTGTTTACAGCCTCCCAAGTGATGGGATTAGAGGCATATGCTACCATGCCCAGTCTCAATTGCTGTCTCAGCACACCCTGGGGGTGGGGCCAGCATGGCAGGCTGAGGGAATGAGTATATGTTTTTGCTCTAGGGTACAGTGCTTCTCTGAATATTGCTTTTTTATTTTCTCCACAGCCTCATGATTTTGATGAATGTCGATTTGATATTAGTGTAAATGATAGTGTTTGGTATCTTCGTGCTCAGGATCCAGATCATAGACAACAATGGATAGATGCCATTGAACAACACAAGGTAAGATCTCTCCTGTTTATCTGGAAGATATACCAGTAGTCCTAATAATAGCCACTTTAAAGCATGCTTGACATGTGATATAGTTACTGAAACATTGAATATGATTCGGATGGTAAAGAGTAAAGCAGGACAGGTGTAAATTTTTGAAACAATTTTTATAAGATATACCTTGTAATCAGTTTGGAAAGTTTTTACTGGATAATTTTTCGAATCATTTAATCTTTTTGAATATGAAGCTAAATAATGAAACAAAATATTTCTTGATACAAATGTATAAGCCACATTTTTATGATTTGATTCTTGACTTCTGTTCATATGGTAAGTAAACTAACAGCACAGATTATACTAATAAATCTGCCTTATTCCTAAGTCTTTAACATCATACAACAAAAACCTGATAAAGTTCTAAAATTACCAGGCCATTACTGATTGTGACTTACGAGAACTTTGTGCCTTTTCATATACTTGTCTATGTTTCTTTATGAGTTTCACAAACATGTAGTTGAAGGATCTGCTTTATTTTAAACAACCACAAAGCATATACATACCACAAAACGAGAACAACCTGTCTGACCTGAGTCACCATAAACATGTTCTTTTTTTCTTTTTTTGGTGGTGGTGGTAGGGATAGAATCCAGAACCTTATGGATGCTACCACTGAGCCACACCTCCAGTACATTCTTCTTTAATTATTGATCATTTTTTAGCTTTTCTTTCTTAGCTTATGGATTTTGATTTTTCTCCAGACTAAAGAAAACTGACCAATGAATTTTTTTTTCCTGTTTTAGTTCTAGTTCTATGTTGGTTTATAACATTCTTAAATCTTAGCTAGCTGTCTTCTTATTATTAAGGAAAGAGCCTAAAAACAGAACATTGGAAAGCTATTTTTATATTACTTAACAGAGAGATGAGCCAGTATTCTAGAATCTTAGTGTTTTAAATTCAGGCCAACTTGGAATAAAATACTGAATCCTCTGCCATTTGTGACAGAGGGCATGGTAATTAACCCCTTACTGTATTTCTCATTTGTCAATGATGGTAATTCTGCTCAAAGTTATACTAAGTATAAGCAAGATAATATGTATTCTGTGCATGAAAAATATGGTTAATGATTTAAAAATTTATTACAGGAAATGACACATTGTCATTGATCCTCATCATTGATCCTCCTTAAAATATTTCTCTTCACTTTGAACACTTTTAACTCATCATTCTTGCCACTTTCTAGACTCTCCATAATACAAGACCTAAGTCAAAAAATGGACAATTGTTCATTGGCATAAACACCTACCTGGCAAGTGCAAGGTCCCCAGTTTGATCCCCAGTATCAGGAAAAAAAAAAAAAGGAAAGAAAAAATGGGCAACTGAAATGAATAGACACTTCTTGGAAATAGTAGTACAAATGGCCAGTTAATTTGTGAAGAGGGGCTAGAGACATATATAGCTCAGCAGCATAAGCACTTGCCTGACAAGTGCAAGACTCAGGGTTCAATTCCCAGTACCACACGCTGTACCTGCCCCAGAACCCCAAGCACTCTATGCTGACACCCAAAACCGGGTGAGGTGGCACACACCTGTAATCCCAGTTCTGGGGAGGCTGAGACATGAGGACCACTATGAGTCTGAACTATGAAGTAAGACCTTGTATCCAATAAAAAAATTGTGTGTGTACACACATGTATATATACATATATATATATAATTTTAATTAATATATAATCGATTTTTTTTTTTTCGGAACTGGGGATTGAACGCAGGCCCTTGTGCTTGCCGGGGAAGCACTTATTCTACTGAACCATCTCCCCAGCCCTATAATTGAATTTTGTATATAATTTAGTATGTAATTTGAATTTTTGAATTAGTGCTTATAAAAATTTTTCATAAACCAAAAATGTATAGATGTATAGTTAAGATTATTTTTATTTGAGTTAAATTAACATATGCCTATGTATCATCCAAAGGACCTCTGTAAGCATTTTTTTCTTGCCTAACTAGTTGATAAAAAAAATGTGATGATTTCTCTGTTAATTCTGTTACTTTAAAAAATCATAAGTCATTATTGGAGTCTTCTATGATTAGAGTCCATGTGACTAAACATAATTTCTCTTTACTGCTTACTATAAAATATTCTTCCCCACCTCACTGCTCTCCCCTCAAAAGAGAAAGAAAAATGAGCTAGCAGGAAAGCTTTCCTGGAACTAGCAGATGTAAGAATCATTTGAGAACATTAAGTTTCTTGGCTCTTATAAAGTTTATGGTAACTATGGCCTCCCTTTATTTTCATAAGGGAGCGACCTTAGCAGATAATTAAAATGTTTGCAATCATGAACCACACAGGACATATCCAAGTTATGAGGAATGTAGAGAAATAAATATACAGTTGGAGGAAAATTCCAAATCGTAATTTTTAGAGATACTGATTTTCTGTAGTGGTAGTGCACGGACAGTTGCTTCGTAATATATTATTTGTGGATTTGTTCTTATCTCTTTGTGGAGACCTAATTCATGTGTAAAACATCACTTATGGACCAACAAGATAGCTTAGCAGACTGCCTTTTTAGACAAGGGCAGGGAGAGGGGTTTGATCCCCAGCACCACATGTTGCACCAGCCCTGCCTTCAGGCATGCTGAGCCAGCTGTGTAGACTGAGCATGGAGGCACACACCTGTAATCCCAGCCCTGGGAAGCTGAAAACAGGAAGATCAGTCACGAGTCTGGGCTGCATACTAAGACCCTGCACTAAATGCATTAAAAAAAACTTAGACCTTCAAAAGAAAAAGATTATTCCTAGCCTCGGGAATTTTAGGGGTTTCTATATATGGAATTTATATTAAAAATGACATTTGAAAAGAATTTATGCATTTTACTTGAAAGGAGTATGAAAACAATTTTTTAACCAAAAAATTCCTTTTGTTGAGCCATCTAACAATAATCCAAGACTCACTTTTTTTTTTTTTTTTTTTTTTAATGTTTTTGGTTGTTACAGGGTTTCGCTACTGGCCGAATTAGTGTACTCTGGGAGTGGGGCTGGTGTGGTATGTGGTGCGGGAGATTAAACTGCAGTCCCTGTGCTTGCCTAAGCAGGTGCTGTAGTCCTCTGATCTATGTCACCAGCCCCATAAGACTCACTTTAAAGGTCTTTTTAAAATTGTGTTGCTAGGGGTTTGATAATATAATCCAGTGTGCTTGACTAGGCCTGCATTCATCCCCATACTACTGAAAGCAAATACAAAAAATTGTTACTATTTGGCATAATGAAATCTTTTTTTCAT